GAGTCCGAGAGAAGCCGAGGGAGGTCGAGACAGGGAGGTCGCCACGTGGCTTATACGCCAGGCAAAAGGAGATCAGATGAGCTTTATCCCTCTTTTCCCGAATTAGTGCCATTGGAGAAACTGCATTTCGATAACGACCTCAACTCCTCCTTCGCGCCCGGTGGATGTGTGTCTTTCATGGGATTAATTAGATGGATATTTTTAGTGTGCTCTGGGAGTCCATTAGCTGCGAGTGTGGTGTTAGACAGTTTGTTTACGAAGTTTGTTGGTGTTTATGTTGATAAAGATGGTGATGTTCATTATAGTATAATCATATGTATAACAATAATAGTAGTTTGATGATAATTATGATAATGACAGATATAAAAAAGAAGACAAAAATAATGATGAAGATGATGATTATAATGATGATGATGATGATGATGATGATGATGATGATGATGATGATGATGATGATGATGATGATGATGACGACGATGATTATGATTATGATACTGATGGTGATTATAGCAATAATGATCATAATAGTAATTGATTAGACATTTATTTAGTATATTGAATCACATTTCTCGTGTAATTGTTTTTGTCTCATTATTTTTCTCTTAATACGAAGTTCAAGGATCTCTTATTCCAACTTTTTTTTTATGTACATCGTTCATATTATTTGAATAATCTGTTTCATTAAAGAGCATCTGCACATTTCATCAGTCAAGCAAATGATATCTGGGTCCTTCATTTGCAAAGGTTTACATGATAATGTTTTGGGAAATCTACATTGACATTGCAATATATCATTACTCCCTGAAAATGCATCTTGCAAATTTAAATAACCATGAACTCATTTATTCAGTAAAGTCAACTGTGTGTCTTTTTTCTAGTTGATTTTTTATATTATTTGAATTTATGTTTTTTTTTTATTAAGATCAACTTTTAGAAAAAAAGTAGGCAGTATTGTTTTTTTTTCTATTTTTTACTTTTATTTGTTTAGAAAGAAAAGACTTTTAGATAGAAAAGACGATACTGATTTTTTTTTTTTTTTTTTTTTTTTTTTTTTTTTTTTTTTTTTTTTTTTTTTTTTTAGATAGAAAAGGCCATATTGAAAAAGTCCTTACTAGATTTTGCTCAGCCCAAGATGCAAGTGTTACTTCGACCCCACACACACAAAAACCCAGACTAAAAAACAGAACTCCAGACGATTCAGCCCAAAACCTGCAGGGTAAGGTTGCAATTCCTTTCCATAAAAGCCTTTGTTATTTGTGTAAAGAAAGTGCGAGAACCTTTGTTGCTCTCTGCCAGGAAGCAAGGAGACTATGCATGCCGAGGTGGATGTTTACTTTCGGTGCCGAATTCAAATGAGAGTTTGGACAAGGATAGTGTAAACATTACCAGGGCGATCATTAATATAAGTAAAAAAAAAAAAAAAAAAAAAAAACTCGTTGTGCATTTCGAGAGGGAATAAATATTATCCATGTTTGATATCCTGAGTCAATTGGATATGTATGAGATTTGTGAATACTGATAGATCTTGGGTTAGATAGAGAGTTGGTTGGGGGTGGGGGGATGGGGTGGGGGGGAGTCGTGTTCATTCAACGAAAGCCTGGGAATATATTGTGTCTGTTTTGGGTGTGTTTGATATACTTTTTTTTTAAGTGACTTCGAAGTATGTAGAACCAGTGTCTATATATTTGAGATATTTCTCAAAGAAATGCGCATACCTGTAAATCTACAACAAGTTCTCGCCAGTCTACATATAAACTGGCTTGATCGAAGATACGAGATCATCTTCCACTACTTTTAAATGTTTATTTAAAATCATATCTGTTGCGTTCGTTCCTACGGCAAGGAAAGCTAAAATTATTATGACATAACGAATCATAAAAAAATATATACTTTTAAGTAGTGTCCAAAAAAAGGACCGTCGTCTCTGCAGTCCACACGGAGAACTTTTAAACCGAAAATATATATGAATAAATAAATAGTTCAAAGGATTAATGATTGAAGTAGGCTCCTTTAACTAGCTGCAGGTTAAACTTGGAAAGTGCTTTGTTCAAGCAGTCAGAAAATGCCACGAGGTTCCCGAAACTTCAAGTTGCTCCAAGTGACTTCAGAGTTAACTTTTGTTTACACTAAGTCAGGCGCTGGGGATGATGTAAAGCTTCTAGCGGAGTGAAGTCACCGTCGATAAGACAAGGTGAGAAATGTTAATTATGATGAAAAGAAATCGGGAACTTTGTGAAGCTCTTATACAGGAAGCAAAATGTGATCAGCTTGTATTAATTTATGTCTAAAGTCAAATAGAAGGATTTTTTTTTTGTTTTACTATATATTGCTATATTAGTGATGGTGGCAATGATGATGATGATGGTGCCTATTGTTATTACCATTATCATAGGTATTTTTTTGTCAGCCTCATGGTTATTATCACTACCATTGTAAGCAATAGCAGTCCTGATAATAGTGATGGAGAATTGTTGCTGTTATTTAATAAGTTGTTGCAAAGACAAGTTCACAAGTTTTTGCTTTGAATTTAAGCTGTTTTTTTCTCTTTAATTTATTATATTGAAATTAGAAAATGTTTCTTAGTTAGCTGTTCGTATCTATTTCGTACGT